TGAATGGCGTTTTTATATAAATCGGTGATTTTGTGACAGAAAAGTGATGTAGGGAACACTGTAAGGATAATGTGGATCGCGCACTAAGGAGCGAGGGAGACATGAGCATGTGTAGTGGCGGCACTCGGGTGAGTTAGCCTTCGAATCATTACTTTACAAAATTTATGTTGCGTGTGAAAGAGGCTTGAGTGCAAATTCCAGACCAATTTCCATTAGCCCAAAATTTCTACATTAACCCATTTCATAATGTACTTTCGACGTTTTTGGTTTCCCGTTTTTGTGTGAAAAAAAAGTATTAAAATGCAAAAAGAAAAACAACAAATGGTACTCACGTATTACACCGGTCATGTACCTGCTATATTGGATTAGGTCCCTAACCCTAACCCTAAACCCTCAGCCCTAACCCTAACCCTAACCCCTTGAAATAATCCTAGTAAATAGAATGCATTGACCGAACCACCGGACATGTACCTACTATATATTGCATTAGGTCCCCAACCCCAACCCTAACCCTAAACCCTAACCCTAGTCCTAGTCCTAGTCCTAGCCCTAGCCCTAGCCCTAGCCCTAGCCCTAGCCCTAACCCCAATCCCTTGAATTAATCCTAATAAATAGAATGCATTGACCGAACCGGCGCAAACACGACTGACGTGTCTAGTGTAATGCATTATTACCGCTTCGAAAAATAAAATACTAATAAAACACTTTTCTATGTAATGGTGCAAATTACTGAATGACAAATATATATATGTAAATTAAAAAAAAATTAAAAATATAAAATACACAAAACATAACACCTCAGCAGCCCGTAATACAAATAAATATGAGCGTATTAGTGAAAAAAGGAAAATATTTCAAACTGGTGCTTGCAAAATATTGCGCATCCGCCGGTATACAACTACTGGAAACTCTCAACATCGTTGGGCTTATGCAATGACATAGCTCGTAGAGATGAAACACCAGTGAGCGGAGCTTATACGCACTCGCTGAGCCAGACAACCGTGTTGCCATGCAGGCGTCATAAGGCATTGTTTCGAGAACGTGCTTTCGAACAAAATCACATTACATTACGTAAAAGGGTATTATGACGTATTTTTAAAGTTTGTGGTGCTGTTTGTTTGTCTCGCTCCAGATAAGGGCCTAGTCGGCGTATGTACGGATATAAATTTGCACGATATGGTAGGAAATATTTTGGAAAACGTAGCAGATACGCACCACAGCAATGGTGTACGGTCTTAGAATCATTTACAGTCGTATTGTTTTATTGTTTACTGACCTGCTTACGCAAGACTAGCAATGAAACACAAGATTACTGATACTCCATTAATTTCCATTCAGTACTCTAAATGTACACTGAAGGTTTTCTAGTACTCTTACATTGAAAAAATAAGGAGTATGTACTCCTGATGTTGAACAATTATCTGGAGCCCTGGTATGCAATTAAGGACATATATTCAAGAAACTCGAATCCTTGCAAACCACGATCACATTACTGAGTGTTAATATCCCATTTGTCTTGCTCATGGTTGATGACGATCTGCAGCCGTAAAACCAAACCTAACGTTCGATACAGAAAAGGTTATTGGAGCTGCTGCAATCTGTTGTGATTGAAAGACATTTGCTCTGGGAGCGGACTAGTGATTTCCTGCTATTGATGGCATTCTAATAACATATGCTGGACCTACTGATCTGGTATTGATTAAATGCTGAATATGTGTTGGGGAGAGTTTGTCACTTGTCCATGAAATACTATTCTCAGACATTGATACAAGTATTATATGGGGAAACACTTAGTGTTCATGATTTCATGGGTAACAAGGAAGCCTGGGTTGTAGACTTCCCAGGGAGCTGAGAATATTAGTCAAGTGACATTGATACAAACATTATATGGGAAAACACTTAGTGTTCATGATTTCTTGGGTAGCAAGGAAGTCTTGGTTGTAGACTTCCCAGGGAGTTGAGAATATAAGTCAAGTACCATTGATACAAGCATTATATGGGAAACACGTAGTGTTCATGATTTCTTGGGTAGCAAGGAAGCCTTGGTTGTAGACTTCCCAGGGAGTTGAGAACATAAGTCAAGTGCACAGCAATCCATTGACTTGGGAAATAATGTAGCGGAGTGAGTATTCACTTGGTGATTGGTATTTGACCCGTTATAAATGGACATATCATGATTATAGTGTGATACATCTGGTATCGATCAGTGTAACAACTGTGTGCTCATATTTGATCGTATCCCACAAAATATGGTTCATGGCACTTGAGGTCTGACAGACCAACTTCACCCTGGACTTTCCTGTGACAGGTTGTGAAGATAGCTGGAATACTGGTAAATCTGGTGTTAGACCAGCTGGCTCATTTCAGCTCGCTCTCCTCCTCACTCCTCACTCCTCCTCACTCACTCCTCACTCACTCACTCACTCACTCACTCACTCACTCACTCACCTCACTCACTCACTCACTCACTCACTCACTCACTCACTCACTCACTCACTCACTCACTCACTCACTCACTCACTCACTCACTCACTCACTCACTCACTCACTCACTCACTCACTCACTCACTCACTCACTCACTCACTCACTCACTCACACTCACTCACTCACTCACTCACTCACAAAATAAAACAAAAAACCATCTAAACAACATAAGTAACCTATCTACCAAACTCAAATTGTTTACTAAGTTTGAGTTTAATATCGATTTCAGTTTATTTCAAGAAATGCATTTTCAAATCTAAAATTCAGATTAAAGTTTGCTTCAAGAAATCTGGGCCTGATCCTGTGAACCTGTCTGAAGCTCATCTTAGCTCACACATATAAACGTCAGAAGGAATACATGTATGACAGGGAAAAATACATACACATCAGCGACTCTCTTGTTTTATATATTTGTATATATCACATGACAATATTGGTAGAGCTATGAGTACCAGGTCCTACTCCGGACCCAAAGTCTCAGTCCACATGTACCATCCTGCCCATTACCTGCCATCAGCCAGCCATTAACAGCTGTTTCTATCACGGCCTGTCTGCTTGTTATATTCTGTAACAACATGTCGGTACAAATCAGTGGTAAATCAATGAATGACACAGTCTCTGTGTGTAATACTCATGCTGTGGCAGTCACACGTATCATAGCGCCATCAAGGCAGCTGCCAAGGAGTGCCGTAGAGTGAATCTGTAGAATGTATTGACCGACCCTGTATAGAAAGTATGGAATAAGTTAATTATATCCTTCCCGTGAGATAAAAACAGATTCGTGTTGTATATTGCTTACTGACAGCCGGACATCCTATCTGGTTTCTCTTTTGGGATTTCAGGATAGAATTGATCCCTATTAACACATGCCCGTCATTTGAGCAGGGTCCCGGTTCAATTCCCCAATTTGGTATAGTGTGTGAAGCCCATTTCTGGTGTCCTCTGCTGTGATATTGCAGAAATGTTGGCAAAAGCAGTGTAAAACCTCATTCATTCATTCATTTCATCATTTGGTCAACCTTATGTATCAGGTGTTAGGGCTGTGAGTGAGTGAAATTTTGACACAATTCACTATTTGTTACAAGGGAGGAGTGCAGAGAAAGGGACAGCCAGGTGTTAGAGAAGCACGTGCACAAGTGCCCATCAAGTTATTGATTCATTAGCCTGTGCCGTGCCGTCTCCATCCTTTCTCGCACACAAACTTTATGGATAACAACTTCTTTATTTCGTGAGTGCGACGTTTTGTGTACAGTTGTCAAGCAGGAATGATACATGAAGACGGGGGAGATGTATATATACTAAATGTAACAATGAAAACAATACATTAGTCAATCATGTTGTTTTCTTTGTCAATTTTTTTCATGTATCATTCCTGCTTGACAACGGTACAAGAATCTGTATCGAAACGTTGCACTCATGAAATAAAGAGAAGTTGTTATTCATAGAGTTTGTTCCATATAGCAGATTCGATCCCCGACCGCGTCATACCAAAAGACGTTAAAATATGGTACTTGTTGGTCCCTGCCTGGCGCTCGGCATTAATGGGTACAACAAGGACTGGTCGGCTCGGAGTCAGTATACTGTGTCTGAGTGGGGTATTCATGCTTCACTGCGGCATGGTATCTCAGTGGGCTAGCACTATAAAACCAGCTAAAGTCTGGGCTAGTACAAACAGCTGCACATACACATACACACGCATGCACGTCGTCATCTGAGCGAAATATTCTCAAGCACGACGTTAAACCCAATTTCACCTCACCTCCATATAGCAGAATCTGTAGCGAAACGTTGCACTCATGAAATAAAGAAGTTGTTATTCATAGAGTTTGTTCCATATAGCAGAAGTTGGCCATATACCCACTTGAACTAAAACTGCAAGCTTTGCTGATCAGTCCCTCCTCAGTTCCTCTAAGTAATGAGTGATGTGTTGTATACTCAAGGAAACGAATAAGGGAACACCTGAAAGTACAAGTGTTCCTTTATTCTTTTCCAGGTTTCTTCTCAAGCTTTGTATTGCACTGTGGGTGAAATTCTGGAAAAGAATAAAGGAACTCTTGTGCTTTCATGTGTTCCCTTATTTGTTTCCATGAGTATATTTGATGTTTCTATTATTTTTTCAATATTGACGAGTGAGTGAGTGAGTATAGTTTTATGCTGTTTTTAGCAGTATTCCAGCAATAACATGTCCGGGAGCACCAGAAATGTGCTTCACATGGGGAATAGAATGCGGGTCTTCGGTGTGACGAGCGAATGCTTTGACCTCTCGGCTACCCGCTGCCCCCAGTATTGAGGAATATGTTTTTCTGTAACAACTTGAGATAAAATTTAATGTCTCAACTGTCATCTGCTTGTAATGTGTGCTGTAAGCTTGAATGTATAAGCCAATGATTAGAAGAACCTTTCGGTTGATTGTTTATTGATCTTTGGTGACAATTATGTAACTGGCATGCATTATTGATGTATAAGAAAACAATGATGTCATTGTATCCGTCACAATGTTCTCTTCTTTATGCAGGTAATGGCACACAACAGTTCATCAGCATCCCGGTATCCTTGGCAACGGGAGGGAATCAACAGATTCAACTCTTGACGACGTCCAATGGGCAGATAATTGCCACGAATCTTGCCAGTTTACAGGCGCTGGCACAGCCTCTCAACCTTGGCCTGGCAGGAGTCACAGGTAAACACAAGACTAGAAACCATTAAAACACGATCAGATGTGAATAAATTGTTTATATCATGTTGACTGTCACCATGACAGCAGATCCTGACTCCAGTTTGAATTTGCAGTGTGTAACGTGACAGGGGAGACAACTTGGTGTACCACAGTTGGTGATGGGATTACAGGGATCGAACTAGTGCTCAATTTGTGTGCCATGACGCTTTAAATTTTGAAATGGCTCAGATAAATATTTTCAATATGCCCTGGCAGCACAACAAGAATTATGAAAATAATACCTTGATTCATTTAATAGAAAATAAGATGAATATAACTAACTGGAATTATTCAAGATCTGTTTTTGAATGCTATTAAACTGTCTATTGGTGGCCCTCTTTCTCTATTTTGAATACCATTGTGCATAGCAGGAAATCACGGTTTGGATTATGACAAAGCTTTTGGGTTAGTTTGTGGGCCCAGGACAAATGACACTGAACTATTCTTGCAGGAAAATTCAGAAAAAGCATGTGCACAAGTGCCACAAAGTTATAGATTCATTTACCTGTGCTGTGCCATCTGCATCCTTTCTCGTACACCTGGCTGTTCCTCTCTTTGCACCCCTCCCTTGTAACACTAGTGAACTGTGTCAAAATTTTAATGATAGTTTGTTAAACAACTTTTTTATTTTTAGGACATAAATTCTGAAAAAAAAATCACAGAGTTGGTCTGATATTTTGATTATGATCAATGTTTGATTGAGTATTATATGTTTAGTAGTTTTCGAGTTAGATTGCAATTCATTGGTCCGGTTTTGAGCCAAAAAGACTTAAAAGATAAATATACCTGGGAAATAATAAATCAGTTGTAAACCTTCTCCCAGTTCACTTTTAGGCTATTCTCAAAGACATGCAAAAAAATTAATACATTTCACTAAGTTTCTGGTTAAATGGGATTATCAAGAATCATATAATGGCTGCTTTGGAACAGGTGGCAGCGAAGAGCTTGGAAGGGTAACACAAATGTCATGGTATGGATAGAAGCTTATCTGGTAACATGTTAGTTGAAGTCCAGTAACTGCCGGGGATGTTACTAGTTATACCTCAGTCTAGTAACTACCAGGAGGTAACTGGGTATACCATAGTGCAATATATATACCATTGACCTGTAACTTCCCAAGGGAGGTAACTAAGTACAGGATAGTCAAGTAACACCTAAGGGGAGGTTACAAGGTAATATCATAGTCCAGTGACATCCCAAGGGAGGTAACTTTGTACATAAAAGTCACCCAGTACATTGAAGTAGAGGGAAACTGGGGAATATTTTAAGTGAAGATTATATTATCAACAAATAGAGGAAAAGCATCATGCAATACTGTCTGTGATTACTAGGAAATATATTGCTGTTCCGTACCAAATGGTATTTTTCTCTTAGCTTTATGTTATTACAGCTGGTTCAGCCGTAAGTAATTTATGGTGATTGAAATGCTTTGAGGCATGACGTGATACGGTTTCATATGTTGTTCCAATATGGTGGAAGAGTCAGTAGTGTTTTTTTACATGCTCTTTGTCAGTGAACAATAAAAGTCAAAACTAATGTTCCCCGTGGAAAGATATCTGAAAAAATTGCCTTCATCTTGTTGAATAAATGTTCGATTCACATTCACTTCATGCCCCTATTTTTATAAGACTGCTGTACGTTTTGGCCATTGTGAATACCCAGGGTAGACATGGCCTTCCACAACGTATGCTTGTCATACAAGCAACCAGGGATGTCATCCTGAGGTCACGATATGATATGTATCTTGATCGAGGTCGATATGTATCTTGATACCAAAGTGATATCATCATGTATCTTGATATGTATCTTGATACCGTGGTCACGATACCATATGTATCTCGATACCGCGGTCACGATACCGTATGTATCTCAATACCGAGGTCACGATATGATATGTATTTTGATACTGAGGTCGTGATTCGATTTGCATCTTGATACCGAGGTTACGATACCACGATTGTGAAATTATAAGTTGTTTTTAGTCACGATATGGCTGAAATATTGCCGATGTGACTGTAAACCTTAACTTACACACTCACTCTTTTTATGAAGCCCACTCATTTGTCTGGTCAGGTAATTTATCATCTACCATATTTCATTCATATAATAATGTTAGCATATTAATAGGTCGGTAGTCACAGCCTGAAGTTTGTCACCTTGAAGCTGTCTGTTAATGGTGTCACCTTGAAGCTGTCTGTTAATGGTGTCACCTTGAAGCTGTCTGTTAATGGTGTCACCTTGAAGCTGTCTGTTAATGGTGTCACCTTGAAGCTGTCTGTTAATGGTGTCACCTTGAAGCTGTCTGTTAATGGTGATGTTATTGTTTCAGCAGGCAGTGTGTCCAGCCCTGCAAGTCACCACGGTAGCAGTAGTAGTAGTAGTCACGCAGTGTCGAGTCAGTTGGCAGCAGCGTTGCCACAACTTTTGTCCACAGGAGCACAGGGTCAGCTGCTAGCACTTGGCACACAGGTAAGTGGAGCTTGTGGTAGTGGGGCGTTACCATGGTTACAGCATTATTGTGGGATACTGGTGGAAGTGGTGCGTCACTATGGTTACGGCATTGTTTTGGGGATATTGGTTGTGGTATGGCATTACGATTGCTACAACATAGGGGGTACTGGTGGTTGTAGGGTGTTACCATAGGTACAACATAGGGGGTACTGGTGGTTGTAGGGTGTTACCATAGGTACAACATAGGGGGTACTGGTGGTTGTAGGGTGTTACCATAGCTACAACATAGGGGGTACTGGTGGTTGTAGGGTGTTACCATAGGTACAACATAGGGGGTACTGGTGGTTGTAGGGTGTTACCATAGGTACAACATTCTCGAGGGGATACTAATGGTAGTATGGTGTTACCATGGTTACACTATTGTTGAGGGGATACTGGTGGTAGTTGGGTGTTACCATGGTTACAATATTGTTGAGGGATACTGGTTGTAATTGGGTGTTACCATGGTTACAATAGTGTTGAGGGGATACTACTGATGGCAGGGCAATTCATGGTTTAACAATATGCAGAGTTTTCTTTCTTGGTAAAAGTTGTCTTTCCCTGTACAGAGTTGTCTCTTTTAGTCAGACAGAATTGGGGTAGACTTCTGGTTCAGGATAATCTTTGCTCATTTCCTAGACTTCTTCTATCTTTGTTTTCAGAATGCAATCCGAGGATTATCGTTAGATGGAAAATTCAAGTTCGATAATCAGGTGATTATATACTTTTTAAAAATTAAAATTTGAATGATATTAAATGGGGAGAAAAAAACCCAGACAAATCCAAGATGCTGTGATAAATATTTGTCACACTTTATATGTACTGTCTATGGTATCCGTTTTACCAAGCCAAATATCATTTCTCAAATTTGAGATGGGGGTAGGGGTGGGGTGGGGATGATTATCAACAGATTTCCAGTTTCAAATCACTTATAACAACATTTTCAAAATTCTTTGACTCTTTGACTCATGGAGATATGGATTCTTTGACTCATGGAGATATGGATTCTTTGACTCATGTAGATATGGATTCTTTGACTCTTTGACTCATGTAGATATGGATTCTTTGACTCTTTGACTCATGTAGATATGGAATCTTTGACTCATGTAGATATGGATTCTTTGACTCATGTAGATATGAATTCTTTGACTCAAGTAGAAATGAATTCTTTAACAGACTCATGTAGATATGGATTCTTTGACTCAAGTAGATGTTGATTCTTTGATGCAAGTAGATGTTGATTCTTTGACTCATGTAGATATGGCTTCTGTTTACTAATCCAGAACTTTCCACATTGTAGGTGCTGACACCGGTCTCTGTCGCTCAAGTAAATAATTCTTCAGCTTCCTCCAACCAATCAACTGCTGGCGCTGCAGGTCATTCAGCCAATCACAGCATCTCTACTTCCCCGTCATTACAACAGACGCTTACACAAGCAGTGGGTGGGTCGACGTCGCACACCGTTGTGGCACAGCACAGCCCCACGCGACCCTCAGCACTTTCCGCCAATCCGGCAGCTACCTCGAATGGACTTCCCCCCTCCGTTAGTCAATTGCTACCAAGTAAGTTGCCAAAGAAAAACTTTGATATGAAGGATGAGATTCTATAAGGACTTTTTGGACCACTGGAAATGGTAAATGTTCTGTATTAACAGAAATGCTTATCAAACTGTTGATACAGGTATGTAACATGTTTGTTGACTGAGGAGAATGGCTATATTTTTTGGCCTGGTTTTGACCTCAGGCAGTGATCATGTACAGGGTGCCGTTGTACAAAACAACCTTAGCGGTAAGACCACCTTAAGTCTATGTTAAGGTATGGGATTTACGGTCACCTTAGAGCTAAGATCTCTTTGTACAATGGTACCTAGAAGTATATAAAAAGTGTGAATTTTAGTAAAGTTTTCAGAAATTCTATCTAAACCATTAGCAAATGAAGAAAATCAGTTTGGATTTATGAAATATTAAAGAAAATGTTTAAAGGTGGCAAATTTTCCTGTGGGCCAAAATGTTGCTGTGATACCTCGTCCCTTGCTTTTCATACTGTTTGTGACAGCTCCGATGGTGCCTATTTAAGTGTTGCACTTACTTCCGTTACAGCACATGTTGAGTTTTGTTTTGTTCATGTATTCTATCTCATGTTTGTTTTGTCAGTTACTGATAAAATACATGGTTATATAAGTTGCAGTAAATTTCAAAATGTTCATCAGGAAGAGAGACGTATCATTGACATGATAAGGAAACTTTTTAAGTGTATAGGTAGATAAAACTTGTTTGGAAAGAGAATAACTTAGGTAGACGGAATTTTGACTTATTAATCTTGGCACGAAACATGCCATTCATTATCAAGGCACAGGACCTGTAAATTTGATTTTTGGGTATATATTCTAAATATTATCATGTTGATATTGTCATTTTGAGACATGAAGAAAAAGCTTGTAATGTCCACACTACATGGAAACTAACTATAGTTGGCTTCAGATGAGATTATGTTTGAGTTTGAGCTTGTGGATCATGTCATATTGTATTGTTTTCAACAATGAAAGATTTTTATGGCATATCATTACTGCTGACCAATCAGCATTGAGAATTGCAAAAATGCACAATTACATTTGAAAGTTACAACAATTTATCAATTTACCCATTTTGGCAATATTGGTCCTTGTAGTTTGTGTGCATTGTGTGTCTTATTTTGAAGTATTTAGAATGAAAAAATAATTTGAAATTTATTTAAAAAAAAAATCAAAATCCTTACTGAAATTTATATGGAATAGAATCGCTATAGCTCCTGGACATCTTGTGCTACGTACTGCTTGTAGTTTTCTATTGATTTCTCGGTGTAGCAGTATGTGTATACAATGTAGTGGATTACTGCGACAGATGTAGAGTTAAAGCTCTTGCTGTATCTTACTGTTGGCTGCTCATTGTACGTTACTGTAGTTCTGCCTCAGTTAACATTGAGTTTGGCTATTTTTTCTGCACCTGTTTTCAAGAGAAGAGCACGGTGTCTCTGCCCTTGACCCTCTCAGCCCCTAAGACCGTTCTGACCTCAAATGGACTTCCCACCAGTATTAGTGAACTCATACCAGGTAAGTCATGGCGAGGACTCCGTGATCGGTGGCACTGTTGTACTGATTGGTTTATGGTTTCTGTGACCCTAAATAAATGCGAAAATGCGTGGGAAATGTTAAAAAACTATGATTTTTTTTAAAGATATTTGTTAAAAACTGAAAGATGAACTCTTTGAATAGAATTTAGAAGCATTTAGGGTGAAAGTGTATGGATGACGACATCTGTAACATGTGGAACACAATGTTTCTATAAAAGTAATAGCCAAAGTGGGGATTATTTTGTTTTAATGGACTGTGACCTCTGGTGTGACCTGGGGCGTGGAGGGATACACACATGAGACGGCCTGTAAGACCCTCAGTCAGCGCAAGGCACAAGCCGCTACCAACCTTCCCCCCAGCTATCTTAACTTGTGAAAAAAAAGAGGAATTTTAATGTGTAATTTTATGTTGTCAGAAATAAAATGACCTTTCTCCTCCTTTTCTCTTCTCACCCCCCCACCCCAACAGCTGAAACCTTATAATGGGGAATCTGTGATTGTGATTTACATAGGGGAGATAACTCTGCTTAGCTTGTATGTGTGGTGTCATGGATGAGCAAGCCATGTGTGTCCCTCGAATCCTCAATGGGCCTTATGAGTTACAATGGGATCCTCACGTCTAACATTGGGACTAGTGAGACTAACATGTAGATAGATTCTATGGATGAGAGACCCACTATGTATGAGAGATCTTGTGTGCTTGAGAGACCCACTATGTATGAGAGATGCAGTGTTCTGGAGAGACCTACTGTGTATGAGAGTGAGTGAGTGAGTGAGTTTAGTTTTACGCCGCTTTTAGCACTATCATGGCGGGGGGCACCAGAATGGGTTTCACACATTATACCCATGTTGGGAATCGAACCCGGTTCTTCGGTGGGATGAGCGAACACTTGAACCACTAGGCATTCCCACTGCCCCAGTGTGTATGGGAGACCCAGTTAGCATTACAGACCCTATGTGTATGTGATACCAATTATGTATGAGAGACCCATTTCAAGAGAGACCCATTGTACATGAGAAACTAGGTGTACCTCAGAGACCCAGTGTGTATGAGACACCTGCTGTGTGTGAGAGATCCAGTGTATGTGAGAAACCTGCTGTGTGTGGGAGACCTGGGATGTGTGAGAGACCTGCTGTGTGTGAAAGACCTGCGTGTGTAAGACACCTGTGTGTGAGAGAGAGAGAGAGAAAGAGAGACCTGGTGTAAGACACCTGCCGTGTGTGAGAAACCCGGTGTGTGAGACACATTCAGTGAGAAACTTGGTGTGTGTGAGACACCCGCTGTGTGAGAGAGATCCGGTGTGTTTGAGACACCTGCTTTGTGTGTGTGTGAGAGACACCTGCTGTGTAAGAGACCTGGTGTGTGTGAGAGATCTGGTGTGTGTGTGTGTGTGACACCTGTTGTGTGTGTGAGAACCGGCCGGTGTGTGTGAGAGAGAGAGAGAGAGTGAGGCCTGGTGTGTGTGAGAGACCCAAAGTGTATGAGGCACCTGCTTTGTGTGAGAGACTCAGTGTGTGTGAGAGAGACACTTGCTGTGTGAAAGACCCAGTGTATATGTGTGTGTGTGTAAGACACCTGCTGTGTGTAAGAGACCTGGCATGTGTGAGACACCCGCTGTGTGTGAGAGATCTGGTGTGTGTGTGTGTGACACCTGCTGTGTGTGAGACCCGGTGTGTGTGTGTGTGTGTGTGTGTGAGGCCTGGTGTGTGTGAGAGACCTGAAGTGTATGAGGCACCTGCTTTGTGTGAGAGACTCAGTGTGTGTGAGAGAGACACTTGCTGTGTGAAAGACCCAGTGTATGTGTGTGTGTGTGAGAGAGAGAGAGCGAGAGAAAGAGAGATAGAGAGAGAGAGAGAGAGACACTTGCTGTATATTGATCCAGTGTGTATGAGAGATCCAGTGTGTATGAGAGACCCAGTGTGTATGAGAAACACTGTGTGAGAGACCCAGCGTGTTAATCTGTATGATGGCTGATAATCTGTACGAACCAAGATGAGAAACCTGATGTGTTTGAGATATCCGGTGTGTGAGATACCCAGTGTGTATGAGATATCCGGTGTGTGAGAGACCCAGTGTGTATGAGACACTGTGTATGAGATATCCAGAAACTGTGTATGAGACACTGTGTATGAGATATCTGGTGTGTGAGAGACCCAGTGTGTATGAGATATCCAGTGTGTGAGAGACCCAGTGTTTATGAGATACTCATTCTGTCCTTCTGCCCCAAAACTTTGTCCAGAGCATATCTCTTAAAGTTTACAAGCTAGGTTTACCAAACTTCACACACATGTTAATCATTACCCACAAATGTGCCTTTTGCCATTTGAATGTTCATCAGAATTTATTTTTTTGCTGTTTCCATGAAACATGACCTCATGTCTGTTAGGGACATGGTGTGTATGAGGGACTTGCTGTGTGTGAGAGACAATGGGTATGAGAGACCCATTGTGTATGAGAGACCTGGTGTCTATTCAAGACCTAGTATGTGTGAGAGACCATAGCTTCTATTTTCCCAAGGTGATTTTGTACCAGTGTCTGTTGGAGGTCTGTTGTTAGCCATTGCGCAGATGAACCTCTGCAATTCTGCAATTCTGAACAATTTTGTACCCTCTCTATACAACTATCTGCCAATCAGTGACTTTCAGTTTGGTCGTGAATATTGTCGCTGTCAATATAGCAAACAGTTTCCTTTCCAGACACAGTGGGCAACTCAACTGAGAGTACGACTGTAGATGGAATCAATTTGGACGAGATTAAAGAGTTTGCACGGCAGTTCAAGATCCGTCGATTGTCGTTGGGACTGACCCAGACACAGGTGGGACAAGCCCTCAGCGCCACTGAGGGGCCAGCTTACAGTCAGTCAGCTATTTGTCGGTAAGATCCCACCCTCCACATGGCATATTCCTGGATCCGTTGTGTCACAGGTTTGTGGTAAAGGGAGGTAATCCCCAAGATACCACAACATCTAGTGTCCACTCCAACATTTGATAATCCTCGCTGCTTCGCTGATAAAACCTACTGTGTTTAAAGACTTTCAGGAAGTGACTTTTAGAAGAAGTAATACACGTAAAGACGAACACTTTTTTGAGGAACATGACTTTCAAAGTTTATTCTTACTTCTTTATCAGGTGAATCTGAAAGTCGTGTTCCTCAAAATGCAAATTAGACAGCCATAAATTCTTACCTATATCTTACTATGTTTGTTAGGACCCTAAAAAAGGATGGTGTAAGTGTGCATGTGAAAATGTTAAAAAGTCACAATAATTCCATTTCAGATTTATAAATGTGAAAATGAACAATACCTGACAAGGGTGTTTCTACCTCCTCTCTGTTGTTTCAGGTTTGAGAAGCTGGACATAACTCCGAAGAGCGCCCAGAAAATCAAACCTGTGTTAGAGAGATGGATGCTGGAGGCGGAAGAGCGGTATAAGAACGGCGTTCAGAATCTCACCGAGTTCATCGGCAGCGAACCCTCAAAAAAGCGCAAGAGACGTACATCATTTACGCCCCAGGCTTTGGAAATATTGAACCAGTATTTTGAGAGGAACACCCATCCCTCTGGTAAGTAGATCAAGGGATGTGTGGGCTGAAGGGGAATAGTTATCGTGGGAAAGTGGGACTGGCCTTAGAACACTTCTAGCTGCTCCTTCCCCCATTTTCTATGCAACAATTCCCCCCAACACATGTAATTATGGCCTTTGTCCATGCACTTTGTGGGGCAGTTGGGTAGCCTAGTGGTTAAAGTGTTCACTCGTCACACCGATGACCTGGGTTCGATTAATCATATGGGTACAATGTGTGAAGCCCATTTCTGGTGTCCCCTGCCGTGATATTGCTGGAATATTGCGTAAAGCGGCGTAAAACTGAACTCACCCACCATCATCTGTGCTGTAGCTGTGTTAATTTTTATATCCCACCCCTTCTGGTATTTTTGTGTTTCAATATTTAGGATCCACCTCACCTTGTCTCTCTCTCCCCACCCCCTCTACCCCCCAAACAACAATAATTTAGTGAAAGTAAAATAAATAGCCCCATAGCCCATGTTATCCTTATTTAAATGACCAGTCCATGTATAACATCCAATTCTATATCGTTTAATTTGAATAGTAGATCAGTTTGTTCAGTTATGTTTCAGGATTAACAAGCTACACATACTAAAAACAATATTATTGTTATTGTTAATTGTATGTCTTCCAATTTCAGGTGCTGAAATGACAGAATTAGCAGAAAAATTAAACTACGACCGAGAAGTCATCAGGGTGTGGTTCTGTAACAAAAGGCAAGCGTTAAAAAATACGATAAAGAAGTTGAAACAAGAAGCACCGTGACTCATCCGTGGACGTATATGCGGCATAGTTTAATGTTTGGCCAGATTTGTTAATTATTTATTATTTCAAAATAGGTTGTTTTTTCTCAGGGCTATGATCCATAGTATAGATTGAAGAAGCAGGATTCAGATCAGATTTCTGACTTTTCAGTAGAAGGTCGAAACGGGTCTGTCACTGTCATTACTCCCCCTTGTAAGACTATATCTTCCAGATAATAATTGATTAATACATTACATTGCTGAAAACAAATATTCACTCGTCAATTCTATGTTGATGTAGATAATATGACTTTATTTGTCATATCGTCAGTGTACAGATACGTTTAAACACAAAAAGTGACCTTTTCTATTAAGTCAAACATTAACCATTGAACGTAAAAATCATGGAAATTCTGAAGAAATATAGTCCTCAACATTTGACAGAGATTTGAAGGTTCTGGTTAGAGCTGACAATTGCTGGCTTGGGAATAGTATCTTACAAAGACTTCCATACCATGGAAGCTGAACATGTTCAGCTGCATTTGTAGTCATTTAAAATGAGAATACGCAAGTTTCTGTTCGAGTTGAGAAACAACATGAAATAGTGCAATATCTTTGTCAGATTCTGAGAAGTATAGTTTGTGAAGATATAGTCTTACAGAGACAGGTGTTAAAAATGTGTTTCAAGTGATTGGGGTTCGGTACTGGTAATTCTGCGTCTCCGAGTTAGTGTTCAAAATGTTTTCTTCAAACAAGAAATGATGTGAAAAGAGCTGAAAATAATTTTTGTAGTTCGGCAAAGCTCATTAACATTTTAAAAAGCTCATCTACTCACTTTATAAAATTTTCTGAATTATCAGTACTGAATGATTTAAGCAATAGCTTTGTGACTGAAATGGTGGTCATGTGACTCAAGCTTTTTTGTCCCATGACAAGCTAATCACATGACTGGATCACATAGTCACATGATCAAAACAAAAGTCACATGACAGAAATCCCACTGAGATCTGATGCTTGTTCATGCTATGTAAGTTGAAGCTATTATGTGATATTGTGTTTATAGGTATGTAGTGCTCTATAGGTATGACTTGTCTCCCTTGAATTCAGAACAACATGGCAGTACCATCCATTTTGGACAATCACACACTGGGTGTGTATTTCCTTTTCAGGAATTGTGTGAAGAATGTTAACGCAGCATTCATCTAAATTCTTCGTTGAATTCAGTTTTAATTAAAAATATGCTCCTAAAGTATAAGAGTATATTCACTAAGATGTGAAAATTCTTGTGAAAAAGTTATACTGCAACATATGTGTTATGTCGTTTGGTCCATTTTTGAAGAATAGCAGATTCACAGAATTTGTGCGGTACTGCCAAGCTGTTCTGAATGTCAAGAATAAGGTTGTTATTTATTCCTGGTAATTTTACCATGTCTGATATGTTTTAGAGGTTGGCAGTTGGTCAACTGTGTGCTGGTTTCTGATGAAGGCTTTTAACCAGGCTTGTAGAATCTCTGCGACAACTGAACGTGATGCTTGTGGGATCACATTGACCTGATGAAGTTGTGATAACGTGTTTTGATGATGTGAACAAATATTTGTTAATTTTATAACTGAGTCAGAGTGTATGCTTCTGTAGTCCTGCGTAAAGTGTAATACGGTTGTATTGCAAGCAGTTTTAGATGCCAGATGAACACGCCTTCAGTGACTGTAAGTCATTCATAATCTCTCTAGGAAATGTTTATTACCTCATATGAAACTGAATGTCCTTTGTTATATTGTGGAAAGGTGCAATTTATTGCTAGGTTTGTAGATTATTATGATGTTTAAATATTGAAATAGCAATTAACATTTCAGTCTAAATTGTGAACACATGAAAGTTTTCAGACAAACAGCATGACCATATTCAGACCTGTAAGTAATGCTGTGTTCAGATGGTTACCACGATCGTGTTTGTGGATAACACCTGTAATAAAAATATAATAATAATAATAAGTTAAACTGTGATCAGTAGTTTTCAGATGGATTTGTAACCATTTTGAAAATCTACTCCATTTTATAATTGAATTTTTTTGTGGCTTATGAAAACATGGTAATAGACTGTTAACTGCATAAGGAATACTATGTTCCATTAAACTAGTTATCTGTGTCAATGGGCTCAATTTAATTTAAAAGACCATAACATTTTGGAGATTTAATCTTTGAGACAATTTGATTCATATCTGAATAGATATTTTATTTCTCAACATAAAGCATGACAAATGACTATATTTATGTGACAAAAATGGCAGATCCACAACTATTATCGGTAGTACATGTCTTGAAGCATGCATGTACGAATCTGGTAAGAAATGGTCATGATGTAGAGCCAAGGACCTTAATTATTTCCACATGTTTTCTACACAACGTTTTAACTATAATCACTAAGTAACAACCGTAACCAGTAATCTGATGATAAACTATATAGTTACGATAGGTCCTAAAGTTACGAACACTTTGTTGACCAGGATCCAGGTCATACTCGTTGACTAGATCTTAATGTGTCATTATTTTCACAATATCAATCAGTGGATTGTCTGGTCCTGTCTCCAATAATTATAGGCTACCGTCATATAACTGCAATTTGTTGTGCTTGTACCTTATTTTATGACACACCAACTGTTTCAAATCATCCACCCTGTTTACAGCACCGTGTGCTGAAATTAATTTAGCAGACTAAAAGTTAAACAACATAAAATTGATTCTGTGATATCGGCCACTGTGAACAACAGTGGTAGAAACCAACTGTAAACAACAAACAAAGAAATCCTGTGGAAATACTTGAGGTCATTAGTGATAGTTTTATCTGAAGCTTGACAGATACACGAGGGACTCCTTCAACCCATAGCTTACATTAAGAAGCTATGATTGGCATGATGATCGGCAAACCACAACTACTTAATATCAAAACACACATATAATGAATGAACTAATGTGAATCAGAATATTTGTTTATTTGTATGTGTATTTATATCTTAATGCTGCCAAATATGTGTACAAAATCATTATTTATTTAACTTAACGTAGTGCAAGTTATAGTCACTGGTCATCCTAGATGCTATCGCAATCAAAATGTACATACACGGTAGCATAACGCTGATTTTGAGTCTGTTTCTGAAACCAGTTTCTTAGGCAAATTAATATACAAGAACTGTTGTGATAGTTTCTTTTGAATTAACAAAAAATTAAAATATTTCATTTCAAAATATAGTAATTATAAGTTCACAAAGCAAATCTAAAATGGCCCATATTTTTACCAAATTTGTCAAAATATGAAAAATAGGGAAGTATTTTGTCAATGTACTGACAGAATATATTTTAATATTGCTGGGTTATTTGTTATCTTTGAGCTCCATTTTTTATTATTTTTTTTCATTTGAATGAAATGCTTTTAAGTGATTTGTCATTACGACTCTGGGACCAAGGTCAGCTACAAGCTCACAATAACTCTCTGTATCCATACGTGTTAAATATGTCTGAAGTTGATGTTTAAGCTGTTAGAATCTGTACATGTGCAAGAAATATATTGCTGTGCAATAGTCACATGTGGGCAATGGCAGCATGTGCATGCGCTGTACATTATGGCAGTTGAAATGTTTCATACATAGCAATTTTGTGTTGACTCAAAAGATCGTACCTCAATTATTTTTATTTGAAGAGACGAGATGTTCATACTGAAACTGCAGGTTACTTAAAGGGGGACTGCTATAGGACTATTTGGCAGTACTGGAGAGTACTCTTGACTCTTTATGATCTACAGTGGACACTGTGTTATCTGGCTCTCTCTGTAAACTGGAATATATTTGTGTCAAAACTAAGATTGAAAGTTGAACACTTTGGAATCTGTCTATTCCAGACACTGGCACTCAATCTTTAGTTACGTCTTTCTGATGTCCCTCCACCGTGATATTGCTTGAATATTGCTAAAAGCGACATAAAACTAAACTCACTCCAATTACTTCTCTATTCAGTGCCATTGCTTCTGATGAAATGATTGGCAACTCAAAAGAATTACAACAGATCTGACTGTGAGTGTGCTGGCAATATTCATATTTATTTACCATGTCAATTAGCTCTGTTAATTAGGAAAACAAGGTAACTAGTAAGTGAAATATCTCATAAAATCTGTTTGATGGTTAAATTGGTCAATGCATTTCAAAATCATCTCTTCCTTTCATTTTGAACTGTCCAGTTCTAAGTGATGAGACATTTTTGCTGGTCCCATCTGATCCAGTTAAAAACAGAGGCCACATTAAGTCAGCTCAAGAGTAAATGTGAGTAATTGTGTCTCAGTTTATTTGGTCTCTATTTACATTGATACTCCGGAAATATATTCTTGGCAGTCGATTCCACCAACATCACGAAGTGATATAACTGGATTACTGTCCTAAACTGCATAAAACTCACTCACTCGCTCACTATAGACAGTGAACATGGTCCCTCTTTAAAGGAAATGCAGATATTTCATAATTAAAACCACTCATGTTTATCATAAAGCTGTTTCCCATAGAGTAGAGTGTTCGACAATCTCATTATTTCACGTCCGATCTTGTCCGGTTTGCAAACTGAGTCTGTTTGTTTCCAATAACTCGAGCAAAGCAAGTCATATGAGGAGACGTTTCTCCCCTGCTTTAAGTGAAGCAGTGTTGTTTTTTTACAGTTCAAGAGTCTCTTAATATATTCACGTTTGTATGAGAAAATGTATTAAATATGTTTTCACAATAAGTGTTATATAAATATATATATACATCATTTTCAGTCATTTATGAAGTTTTCAAAATTCTCCAGTTTACATTATTGAGTGAATGTTACATTTGAGCGATCTACAGAACAGAGAAAAGAGCAAAAACTTACCAAGAGAGTATTTTAGAGATGTTTTTAACTAAAGAAAGACGTGGTTTTCATTTTATAAAAATGATAAGATTATTGAGACATATTTGCTAAGTTTGTAAATAACAATGAATGATGAATTCCATTTATGGATAAAGGTTATTTTGAAATCTATTTAAAGATTGTGGAAGTCGAATGTGTCAAATTTGCTGAATCGACAGAAATGACTCCACATATAAACAATCTTCCCGATTGTGATTCTGTTACTATAAATGTATAAATATATGGTTGTGTTGACTGATGTACGCTGGAGAATTTTGAAAGCAAAGCTAGTCATGTTTTCATTCTCCTGTGTTGATATTATCCTTTATTTTTGTACTTAAACTAGATGTAGATCATCATTTGACATATCAGTTTGACTACAGGGTCCATTGCGTTGAACAAAGTTTGTACCTTAGGCTTGTATATGTTGAAGAGGAGAGGTCAAGACACACAGCTGCTTTCATGCAGATGCAATTGTAAGAAAATGCCTACACTGTGTGTAATATGATGTAAGTGTTGCTATGACAACAATATGATGTAAGCGTTGCTATGACAACAACATGATGTAAGCGTTGCTATGACAATAATATCATGGAATTGTTGCTATGACAATAATATAATAATTGTTGCTATGGAAACAATATTATGTAGATGTTGCTCTGACAATAAGATGTAAGTGTTGCTATGACAACAATGACAACCTGGAGCCGACAAATGTTGATATTTGTAAAGATGTGGCACCTCCTTGCTTCCTTTGTGAATTAATTTGCTTTCTTTATATTTGTTGTCATAGCAACATTTATGAAAATAAGTGATTGTATGTATACTTTCTTTCTGATTGTTTTCATGGCAACAGTTGTCAGTGTAATGAGTTGTATATTTTTGTTATGCTTGTTGTCATGGCAATGTTTACAAAAATAGCTTGTATGTATGCCTTGTTTATGTTCATTGTCATGGCAACATTTATGTATTAACTAGTGATATGAATCATTTTCTCATCTTCTCACAATGGAACTACTTTTTCTCATGGAATTATTGCATATTTGTGAAATCTGACCTCATATTGGTTTAGATTTCGAATTGTGCTGATATGAAGTATTGTCCATGTTGTGAGGTGTGTTCAGTGACTCTTGCCCCCATCGTATATTTTTGTACTTTTTAGTTATTTTTACTTTTGTAGAACCAAATTTATCCATAAATTTAGTCCATAATTTGCTGAACATATACGGACACATCACCCTTTGACATCTAACCATGATTCAGTACAATGGCTATTATATATGGTATAACATGTTTATAACTGTTAGTAGTTGTATGAATATGTTATGCTGCAAAGGTTACAAATAATTTCGTCATCATGTTTACGTTGCATTTGGAACATAATTCCCCAGCTCATCGATTCCATTAATCATATTCTTCTGTTCAAGCAGGTCTTGGATACAAGTGATACACAGGTTAATCACAGGTGTTCAAAATGGCGGCCTTTGTACTGGGCTGAACTGTGAAGTATTGGATTTATACCAATATCATTGGAAGATTCCTGTCAAATTTGTATTATATCATAATAATCCTTATAGATTCGTCATAATCTATGTGATTCATACTTAACTATCCATGTATGGGCACTAAATGGATACACAAAGTCTGATGAGATGTACAGGATTCAAACTCATTATCTCAAAACATGACAAATTCAAAGGTGTATGTAATTTTGAGAAGTATTATTTGAGTGTCAGAATCATTTGCTGGAACCCTGCACAAACTTCTCAATGGAGAAACATTGTTTTGCTTTAAACCCCACATGAATCTTCATCATATTTAGTCATGTAATGAAGGACAGCTTTCATGTTTTCATCTTCATTCTGTGTCCATAGAATCCAGGAAAGTGCTGACTTGTTGATCCATGCTGTGTACATATTGAACAATCAGTGTTTCATCTCTGTGTGGTTATTGTGCTGTATATGACGGGGGAAAAACACAATGAACCCATCCTCGGCCTTCAGGGAGTGTTTCTGATTAATTCCCATTATCACCCTTGGTCCAGTGAAGCACTATTATGGGCCTGTTTCCTCCAGTGTTTCATCCGTATCATGTAGAATGTTATTATTTGATCACTTTGAACTGACAATGTTTTTTATTCTCACTCTTTTTTCTCAACTATTCTCGTGAAAATATATTTAAGTGAGGGGCAGCCTAGAAGTTAAGACAAAGGCTCGTCATTCTCATCAAGATGTGATTTCTTCCGTAGATGCAGTGTATGAATATTGCATCAGTATTCAGAGCATGGCAAGGAAACAAATCTGTTAGACAACTGAAATTTAAAAAGACTAATCCTTTTCTACCCGAAATCCAGTTGTTTTACAGAAACCACTAATATGAAATAAGGTATGGACAAGATGGCCGAAATGATCAATGATATTTAACCCTGATATTGGTGGAATTTTACGGTAGGTCAAGGTCAAGGTCACTCGTCTTCAAGGTGGTCAGAGTTGTGTTAAGTTCCATGGGTGTTAATCGGAACGGATCAGCCACTCCCTGGACGCAGGACACTGTTACTGTTGCTTCCATCTAGTTATTGTGTCTTGTTGCATTTATTCCCTGATCCAGTAACAAGTTATGTGTTTACGTGTCAAATATGTTTTGCTGTTTTTGTTCGTGGCCAGTGCAATATTTATTCCTTTTTTCTTTTGTTATGTTATCTCACCATGAGTCTTCAGCTGACAAAAAATGGCATTTTAGAAGCAGTTCTTTTTATTTATTTGCTGTTTTTTATTCTACAGTACACAACTGTTTATCATGCATTCAAAGTCGGGTTGGCAGCCAAGATTTGTGATATTGCATTAGGAAACAGTTTTTCAAGACCTGCCGTCCTCCGACCTTCCCACCGAATAATAGTCCCTAAATAATGTTCAAAAGTATAGAAAAATATTTGAAAAAAAAGAGGTTTGCTATTTAACATTACTCATCTCTTCTTATTGTGACACATTTTGGCCTCTCTTCCTCTTTAGATGTAAGGCGTCCAATCCTAAATAATCTTACATCCCAGGGACAGATCCAGAGAGGGGGTGTGGGGGTTGTGCGCCACCCCCCAACTTCCCTGAGGAGCATTTCCCCCCTAACGTTTGGACTTCATGATTTATGTGCATCCCTCTTTTCCAAAATCCTGGATAGGCCCCTGCGCCCCATTAAACTTCAACATTAGAGCTGTTGTTTGGCCGTTGATAAACTTCCAGTAGAACTTTTGATTTGCAGTGTCAGGGGTGTTTAATGTAGATATATGCTAGGTTATCAAGTCTTTATGGTTCTAATGGTACTTCTCATGTTGAAAATTCTTGGTGATACCTTCCATTTCCCTTTTGTTTTTCTTGTTCTGTTGTCCGTTGATCTGTTACTAAATCCACTTGTTACTGCCAAGTTCACCCAACAGTTCAGTGCAGCTGCCAGCGTGTGTTGTAGAGAAAGAACCTCTTTAGAAGAAATACTTGTAATGCCTTTCTCAAGTTTTATGTTAATGTTCGGCATAATCTACTTTGTGGTGCAATTTTGTTTGTCAAGTCATTCAAACTATGTGTAGTTCCAAAGATGAAACTGAAGCACGAATTGTTTGAAGTAAATCAAATTTGACATTCAATTTTGCAAGCAGCATAGAATTCCATTTTAATATGTTAAATTGCAAGAACAACCACAGCTGAATGGCTATTTGTGTTCCTGTTCCTATGATATACTCATGGAAACAAATAAAGGAACACATTAAAGGACATGTGTTCTGTTATGCTCTTCTGGCTTTTCACCCACAGTGCAATACCAAGCAAGACAAGAAACCTGGAAAACAATATAGGAACACTTGCTTTCATGTGTTGCCTTATTTATTTCCATGAGTATATAATCTTGCAAATATGGTTTAATACTAGAATGCTTTATTTCCTTTGTGGCAGCAAATATTTATTTAATTTATTGTATTCTGTTGATACAAACCAGATGTGTAGTATGTTACCTTGATCCTCATAATTGCCAATAGAAAGTATATGTCATTTATATGATGTTTTTGTAATTTTTGCTCTGAGTTTAATGTTTTTGTTATTGCCATGTTTATAAATAATGCATATTGAGTTCCTGTCCCATAATACATGTACACTGTTTCCGCCATATCATGTATCATATAGATATTATAATACCCATTCATTTGACATAGGCTGTTATTCGTATCACTGATTGTATATTCTACATTTCCTGTCGAATAAATCCTCCTCATAGCTTCTTGACAACCTGTGTTTTTGTGCATAAAAATGTCAAACGCAAGATAAACACCATCAACATCAACACCATCAACATCAACAACAACAGCAACAACAACGAACATACTCATGGTGAAATCTCCATATAAATGAGGACATGACTTTTACAATTTAATATATGTATAAATATGTACCAGTATCTAATTTAATTAGATTAAAGTGCATGCTTGTCACATGGAAGACCCGGTTCGTGATGATGATTGGGAGATTTAACGTGCGCATTCGGCCATAACGTGTATTTCGCCACGGGTTCGATTCCCCACATGGGTACAATGTGTGAAGCCCATTTCTGGTGTCTCCCACCATCATATTGCTGGAATATTGCTTAAAGCGGTGTAAAACTAAAGTCGCTCATTCACTCCTTATCAGCCAATAAACAGATGGGATGTCCATATGTTCATATACTGTAAGCCATTAAAAACGCAATTTGACATTCATACTTTCTTTACTCACACCAATTTCAACATATATAAACCTAACTGGCAGTTATGTTTAAGTGAACATCTGTGAATAATTTCATCTGAAAATGTCCTGTCAACAACAACATCAGTGACGCAACAACGACATCAAACAAAGGAGGGAGAAATTGCAGTCAATATCGTGTGTGTCCACCGTGCGCTGCAGGACATGCTCGCAGTCTTTGGGGCATTGAAAGACACACATTTCTCAGGAACAGCTGTTGGATGGTCTGCAGCCTATAATGGTCTGTGGTCTGATCATGACACACACACACACACACACACACCCCTCTCCAAAACGATCATGTTCAAGGACACAGTTTGACGCAAGTCTTTCTCCATTTTATTGTGCTTGGCAGAATCAGAGAGTGCCTAGATCATTATATACTGCTACCAGGCTTTTCGACCGTCCACGGTCTTGTTAAATCCTTCCAAAAATTTCATTGTGGACAGAATGACATTTCTACCGAATTATGACAGGCCACTTGAGATATATGGGCATGGCGGGTGCTATCTAGGGGTGGGTGTTGCAAGGAATTTTCATATTGCGATAAATTGCGATGCGAAAGCATGTATTGCGATATGTATTGCAATATATTGCAAGAAGTTTTCTTTAACAAAAAATACGTATAATCGAGTTAATGCTTGATTTATAAAGTAAAAACACAACAAAATCACAATGCTTGATTAGGCGTTAATAAAAACTTTTAATCATGACAAAATGAAAATGTAAATAATGTTTGGCACAAATGAAACAAGGAAAGGAACAATTTAAAAAAACGGAAATATCCGAAGATTTCCGAGTGTTACGAAGTTTTCCGAATGCATGTCAAAATACCGGTTTTCGATCAGCGTACCGCAATACGTATCGTTTTCATGTCTGAACCGGTAAACTGGTTATATTGCGCAGCCCTAGTGCTATCGGTACAGCAGGACACGTTCACCCTTTTCGAGAACACCTGGTGTCATTCCGATTTATGATCAGTAATCCATGCATGTATTGTTCTCTACACATCGCCACAAATGCCCCAGTGACTCTGTTTCGGCAGGTATGATCAATGACTCCCCTAAGGCGTTGACGTTTACTATTAAATATCATGAAGGTGAGGTGAGGTGAAATCGGGTTTTACGTCGTGCTTGAGAATATTTCGCTCATATGACGACGCGCATGCGTTTGTATGTGTATGTAATAAAAATTTGAGTTTACGTAGAGAAGATATCATTTTTTGAAGTTATCTACTGAAATCTAAATTCACTATGATCTAGTTAGTCTGTCTCACAGTCCCTGAGCCACATTATTTTCCCTACAGCCCTCTCTGCAGTGCTAAAGCCCTAAATAAAGTAAGTCCAGATTTCCTCAGATTCAGGTCTGAATCTCTTGTCTCTCTGGGGCGCCTTTTCAATTTAAATGGGCGTGTTTGTTACTATTAAACTTATATATATATACATGTATATATATTCAGAGACTAAGCATTAGTCTATGATCTAGTATGTATTTTCTCCTAAATATGAACAATGTATGTGATTTGTTATATGCTTACAATCTGAAAATATCTTTTGTCTACTATAATTGGTAAAAAAATTTACTTATCCCAACTCACTAAAAATGTATGTGCATATCTGTGTGAACTTAAAATAACTACCTGTACTTTACACTTACCAGTTAATTGAAAGGAAAAACATGTAAATCTTCACATATATTATGTACATGTATGTACATATCTGTGTGGACTTAAAATACCTACCTGTGTTTCATATTTACCATTGAGAACATGTACACATTCACATATATGATTATATCATGTATGTGCATATCTGTGTGAACTTTAAATACCTACCTGTATTTTTTTTACCAATTGATTGAAAAGGAAAACATGTACATCTTTACATATCTGACGATATTATGTATGTTTTACAGTAGGAAAAATATGAATACATAAAATAAAATAAATAAATAATACATAAAACCATTATCATAATTACCAACAAATGTACAAAAGGATGAGAATGGATAGACTAAAAACTAGTCTCTGAAATGAACATATTTTACTGAAAAAGGCTCATAGTAAAAAAAAAAAATAATGAAAAGGAGCCCTGAGACGTTCTTCATTTTCAGAAGCTGGGGAAATCTTAACTTGCCATATTTTCTAGACTTGCGTGGGCTTTCTTGGATAGATTTGCTTCAGGGTCTGTACGACAGACTAGAGAATGGAGAACATTAGCGGTTATGGTACAAAACACATTATAAGGCTTGGATTTGCATGTCTGTACTTTATACCGACGGACAGAGGGTAAAGGTTAATAACATTCATGTAAAACATGAGGGGGATCGGTAATAATTTTGGTTGCTAAATTTAGAGCCTTTCCTCCATGAAATTCATCTATTCTCTTAAAGGATACCATCTGTAATTTTCTCTCCTTGTTTTATAATCTCGTTTGGTTAGTTTTTATTACTGAGTGAAAGCGAGCCGAACCAACACTGAATAGAGAACAGGAGGATGGATTGTACACAAGTTTTACAGAAAAGTTCCCAAAAAGTTGAATCAATGTGAAAAGTTTCCTGAGGAAATGAAGGCGAGACTGACACTTCTGTAAATGCGATTCTTATTTGGAGAGAAATTTAATTTATTGTTAATTATAAGTTCCTTCGTTCTGGACACATTAAGTTCAAAAACATTTTCATTCCACCGCTAAACAAAAGCATTTATTTCTTCTTTGTATGTGTACTCTTGTCAATGAGTAGACTGATAATGGCGGTGTCATTGGCGAACTTGAATCTAGAACAGTGAAGTTGATAACTTACACAAGCATTAATATACAAAGTGTAAAGTATTGGAGACAATAGACAACCTTGTGGAGCACCGGTATTAACGGTAACCTCCCAAAACCCCTACAGCTTATAACGACAATGTTCGTGGTCCAGTGTACTGCTAATCTTCTGCCTGTTACCTATTTCAATAATGGACCAGCCCAAACACTTAGAAATTAAGAGAATGGTTTTAATGAGCAATAACAAAACTAAGAGTTTGAGAATATGGTTTTAATGGATGATAACACAAATATGTTAAGAGATGTTCAATAATATTAACTTAATTAAATATCATGTCACAACATATTAAGTGTCGTCCATGGCGACAACCCAAGTGTACTGGATCGTGGTCTTGGGAAGTAGATACAGTCCTGCAGCTCGTCGTATCCATCTAGAGACCTCCGCGTCCTTTCTGTAGGCAACTGCAAGCCATAGATCCTGTACCTGCCTCCAAATAGCCTGGCAATACTGGAAGACACAACCCTTCATGTCGGCTGTTGGGAACTCGATCCCAATGCTATGGATTACAACTGGCGTGAAATTAATTCGGAATACAAGCTGGGGCAAGTGGTCGGTTGAGTCTCTGCTGGACTGTACAAGGGATGCTCATGGTGGGGAAAGATGGCATCGTCCATGTCTCATCGTCGTTCAAGGTGGTAGAGGGTGTGCGTCGACTCCTCCCTTGCACTTCCTCAGGTTACTGACAAACCGGACCTTCTGGCTATCCTCTGGAGGATGGTTATGTTCTGTGAAATTCCGCAAAATGTTTCCAACTATTGTGACTCTTCCTCTACAGGTTGACTTGACTCACTTCCAGTGTACACAAGTCTGTCTCTCGACATTCTTTGTGTGAATTTAACCCTCCGGTAGGACTTGAGTGCTACCTCTCTCTGTGACATGACAACTCAATATTGCAAAGACCAGCCATACTGATGTCATGTTAATTTGTTTCCAAATATCTATATACCTACCCAAATCATCTCACTTTATAGTGGTCGCGGGTTCGATCCCCGACCGCGTCATACCAAAACACGTTAAAATATGGTACTTGTTGGTCCCTGCCTGGCGCTCGGCATTAATGGGTACAACACGGACTGGTCGGCTCGGAGTCAGTATAATGAGTCTGAGTGGGGTATCCATGCTTCACTGCGGCATGGTATCTCAGTGGGCTAGCACTATAAAACCAGCTTAAGTCTGGGCTAGTACAAGCAGCCGCACATACACACACACACACACACACGCATGCACGTCGTCATATGAGCGAAATATTCTCAAGCACGACGTTAAATCCAATTTCACCTCACCTCACCTCAGTTTATAGTATCCCCAGAAATGATTGAGAAAGTTGTTTCAGCAAATATCTAACACATGTATATGAACTACAGACGTTTAATGAATATGTTGAGACATGATAGATAGTTCATCTATAGATATGTGATAATTTAGTGTCACTTTCATTCCCAGTGTTCAATCTGATCCATGTAGAACTAGTTCAGTACTGCTTCAATAAGTAGCCAACTGCATCGATATACTGGCTGGTAGTAGAGCATACACCAATGGGTACAAAAGTGACCCATTTTGGCAAGAAGTATGTACAGCTGGTTCCAGAGATGTGGAGCTGCAGAAAAAGTCCCATGCATATAGATGGCATCAGCGGACTGGAGGGCAGCAAGCTGTTCTTCTGTAGAGAAGACCATGTCTTCATCACCATCTGTAAACAACAGCAATCGGCGGCCATCTCTTCTTGTCCAAGGTTCTTCACTAAGTACATCAATCCTGGGTGCTGGCAGGCGGGGAATGGTTGCGCGTCTGTCTGTACAAGCCGCTTCCAACGCTGGAGTGAGTGAGTGAGTGATTGAGTTTAGTTTTACGCCGTACTCAGCAATATTCCAGCTATATGGCGGCGGTTTGTAAATAATCGAGTCTGAACCAGACAATCCAGTGATCAGCAGCATGAGCATCGATCTGCGCAATTGGGAGCCGATGACATGTGTCAACCGAGCCAGCGATCCTGACCCCCCGATCCCGTTCGTCGCCTCTTACGACAAGCATGGGTTACTGAAGGTTCATTCTAACCCGGACCTTCACGGGTCTCCAACGCTGGGAAAGAAGGGAGCTGCTGTACATGATCCAGTTGGAGTTGGCCGATCTCTTCATTGTATATCACTTGGACAGTAGTTGTTTCTTCCCGAGTTCTCTTCCTCTAATTGCTGACAAACTTTACTGATGTTTCACCTGATGGGGGATGACAGTGCTCAGAATTCCTCAGGTAATCTCCGACAGTCGTGCACTTGCCACGGCAGGTCTTACACACTTCCAGTGGACTGATTCCCCTCTAGTGACATTCTTCTGGTAACGGAAACGTTTACCTTTCTGACTAAGGACAAAGTCAGCTTTCCTAAGCCAAGCCATGTCGGTATTAAATTTAACCACTGCATTATGACTTATATATAAGAGGAAAACAATATTAGTTTAACTTAATAACTCATTCGTTTATATTTCACCTTTCCTCCAATATACACCTTTACTCCAATATACACCTTTACTCCTATATACATGTATACCTTTACCTTTACTCCAATATACTAAGCTTGGCTTGTTTTTTCTGTCATATGAATACAGGGACGTTCACCAACTACAATATACCCTTATTCTCTCTTAAGTCCTTTACTTTCTGGTTATTAGATTACCTTTACAGAACCGGTGTAGCGGTTAGAGCGTCCGCCCGGAGAGCGGAATGTCGCGGGTTCGATCCCCGGCCGCGTCATACCAAAAGACGTTAAAATATGGTACTTGTTGGTCCCTGCCTGGCGCTCGGCATTAATGGGTACAACAAGGACTGGTCGGCTCGGAGTCAGTATAATGTGTCTGAGTGGGGTATTCATGCTTAACTGTGGTATGGTATCTCAGTGGGCTAGCACTATAAAACCAGCTTAAGCCTGGGCTTGTACAAGCAGCCACACATGTACACATGTACAGGCATTCACGTCGACATATGAGCTCACCTCACCTTTACAACTGACTGACTGAGTGACTGAGTTTGGTTTTACGCCGCTTTTAGCAATATTCCAGCAACATCACGGCGGGGACACCAGAAATGGGCTTCACACAATGTACCCATGTGGGGATTCGAACCCGGGTCTTCGGCGTGACGAGCCAACGCTTTAACCACTAGGCTACCCCACCGCTCCTATCATGCTGGAAAATACAATTATATCTTACAATGTTCCGGCCGTTGGAAGGAGGGGATCATTTAAATGTCAACATATCGTTCCTTTGTCCTATTTCCTGTGAAAATACATAACGGCGTCACTCCACGTGATGATATCCCACCCCACATGTGAATTTCGGAATGACGTCACACGTTCACGTCATATATTTGGCACCCGCCATCTTAGTTGAAGTTTATTCAGGACGCTACAATAATGTAATTGTGCACCACGTAGAACTGGATCATCAATCTGACTTCGGATACCGTAAATAAATTTTACATTCACTGTGATCCGGTTGTTGTGTTTGTGTACATTTTGATATTCACTCGATTAATGTACCGTGTAACTCAGAAGTGGAGAGTGTTTGAAAAAGTTGCATCCGGACGCGATCTCTTACATTCATATGAATTTAATTACGGATGCAAAGGGTAATTAGGCTATCAATGGCAAGCATTCTCCGAATATCGTACAGGCTCCTAAGTTACGTACACTTGTCTTCAATAGCTTGTTATGCTTTCGCGTGGCATCGCAGGACCTTTGTCGCTTGGAATGTGGTAATTCCAAACTCTATTTTCAGCTTTAGTATGTAATTGTCATGCGGGTACCAGTCGAATTGCCCCAGTTACAAAATGCCCCAGCACATTTGGTCCAATTGTCCAAGGGGTAGTCAAAATGCCCCAATTCATTTGATTAAATATATGCCATAAATGCATAGATTTAGTCAACTTTGATATTATATTCTTCATATAAATGTTGTTAGGAAGTAATATTTCTGATAAATGTAGTCAGTGGCCAAACGTGTGCAGGCCGTCAGGTATAATTTGAA